TAGGCAATTTGACTAGTCGAAATAAGTTAAAAAGACGGTTGGAATCGGTTCAGGATTGATTCTTGTCCAGTTCTGGAAGTTTGAGGTTGTGAAGTATGACAATTTTGACTTGTTTTGACTAGTCAAATGCCAGGGATGCTGACTAGGCATTTGACTACTAAAAAACAAGGTTAAATATGGTTCAGGGTTGATTCTTGTCTGGTTTTTGAAAGTTTAAGTTTGTAAAGTAGACGGTTATGAAGTTTTTTGTTGGATGTTGACTAGGCATTTGACTAGTACAAGTATGCATGTGATTTGCATGGGGTTGCAAAATAGTGCTAGTGAATGTTGACATGACACACTTGGTGAGGTGGAAGGCCGCATGTTGAGAGAATTAAATTTGATGAGAATGAACTATTTAAGATTTTTTTTAAATGAAGGAGGATCCCCGGCCACTACATCTGGATGATGCATGCAGCCACTTTATTAACTAGGTGGTACCCTGCGCGTTGCTGCGGGATATTCTGGATGAGAGCCGGTGTAATGATAAATGTTGACATTGTGAAAGCAAACATATACTTGCTATGCCTTAAGGCTTGCTGCAACATTTTGACAATTTTTTTATCATATCGATGTAATCAATATTTTGGAAGCAATTTCATTCAAAATTTTGATATGGTCTGTCTTTATTTTTGTACTATTTGCACATGTAATAGGAAAATAGTATATATTGACAACAATTATAGTAAAATCTACATAATCATCCCAATAAAGTGGATGGAAGCGCATATATACTTCACAATTCAGATTTGCTCAGTTTCATACTAATGCAATTCAGCCCATTTATAGTTGCATAAGCTGAATCCATATACATGCATATGATCATCCTGAAGTAGTACAAATAATAGTTAGAATGGATTACAATTTAAGCAACAATATATACATTTAAATAGAAGTGTGGTTCTTTGCTGCTTGCATGCATGCTTGACGATAGCAACCCATATATACCTCTTGCATATGATACTGACAGATCCATAGGCAGAAACCCCAAGTGATGGATTGCATGAAACATTAACCTAGTGAAGTAACACTTGAAGGGCATAATCATTTTTTACTCAGAAGGAGATAGTATTCGGTTGTGTTTCTATGCTATCATGGAATGCCAAATAGTCTTCTTATAGAGTAAAAGTGGTTTGCTAATCTAAGTTGCCACAACTTGTGGAAATCCATGTTGAATTCCATGATACTCTACAATAGCATGCAAACAAATATTATAATCTTACCCCTGGCCTCTTTCTGGTCAGTTAATCTGGTAGGCAGAGGTACTGTTTCAGGTCAAATGAACTACTATTCTGTCTGCCCCATCTTCAAAAAAACTGCATATGATAGATTAAACTCTAGCATTGAAAGAAATGAATACAACATATCTTATGGACCACATACATATCAGGAAATAATATGGGGACCAAGAGAGGTTGTGTGATTTTTTTCTTCAATGAGCCAAGCACCTGTGGATCCAGAGCGCAAGCAGGCAATTCAAAAAGCATAAGTGCATGAATCAGAAAGAATGACGATGGTTAAAAATAGGGAGCGTCCACCTACCGGAGTGGAGGGCTAGAGACGAAGAGGACGCGAGGAATTGTGCGTGCTTGAGGACGTCTTTTTAAAGAGAAAGGCAGCGTCAAGCGGAAGAGAGAGCGGCGGGGTAATGGAGGGCCGAGTAATGATCCGCGTTGAATGCTGCTGTTTCATGTGTAGTGGTGGCTGCCGTTTCATGGTGGCGACTGGCGAGTAGAAGAGAAAGCGTCGGCGGCGAGTAGAAGACAGAGCGGCGGCGATGAGCGGAAGAGAGAGATGAAGCCTCAGAGACCTAGGTGGTGTTTGGTTCTCTAGTCCTAGGACTTTTTCTAGTCCCAACTAAAAAGTCTCTAGTCCCTAAAAAGTCCCTCCCTGTTTGTTTCCAGAGACTAAAAAGTCCCTAGTCCCTTCCTAGAGGTTATTAAATGACCATGTTGCCCCTAGTATATAGAAAAATAACAATCAAACAACATTATAGGGTGGCGGGCCAATGGGTGCATGAAGGGGCATTGTTGGAAAAGTCCCAAAAAGTCCCAAAAAGACTCTCCTTGAGAGTCTTCTTCATTTAGTCCCAAATGCCTAGTTTAGTCCCTAAAAAGTCTCTCCCGTTTGATAAAAAATCTCTAAAAGGGACTTTTTTTAGTCCCTACACAAAAAAGTCCCCGGAAACAAACACCCCCTAGTGCGATGCGTTAGATGGGCTAACAACATGACCAAACTAAGCAAGTTACATGCCTGCCTTTTACATGGGCTAGCACGGACAACCAACAACGTACCAGAAGATGTCACACGTAGCAAGGCTATTGGGCTTGATATGGGCTAGCAACGAACCGTGCGGCCGCAACCTCTATCTAGCCCAGTTTGGGTCATCCTCAAGCTTCGGCACATGCATGGATGAACATATATAGACGCACAACTACCACCAAATCCTGCTGTATTGAACAATTTAGGCCATGGATTGCATCAACTCTAAACATAAAATTTGTTTCTCTATTCCTCGTGACCCATTCCACCAGAGGGCACACGATATTGTCCAGTAACGAAGGAGATCAAAAAATGAGCTAGGCCAGCCATGGGGAACGACCAGATGCACTGTCGACAGAACCACGCGAGGGAGCGTCATCCGGCCATGGGGAGTGATCAGGCGCACTATCGAGAGAACCACATGGGAGAGCGACCTCGTCCGCCCGGGGAGCCCTCGTAGTTTGTGTGCTGCCACGGCGAGCTAGGTTGAGGAAAGCAACGGGGATGAGTTCTTGCAAGCGATGCCTTTCTTTTTTGTGTGTTGCGCTGTGTATGTCCGGTTCTGTCGAGAAGAAAGAATGAATGAGAGAGAAGGAACGAAGCGTTATTGTCACTTAGCGGTGGCAAGCCTTTGTAAATTTCACCAGTTGCTGATCAGACGGCTGTGGACTTCTCAGCTCTACAGTATCAACGGCTATAGCAATTCGGGTGATGTGGCTTCCTGAGAAGCCAGGAAAATAAGCTAATGGGGTGTCTCTATTTAGATATAGAAGATTATTCACACAAGACCTTACAAAGTCATACAACAGTAAGACTGAAGCCCAACGTCTAGGCAACAAAAATGTCGCTACTCCTATCCAATTGATGAAGGGATGTTGATAGTCTGTGCCTAGTATCAAACAGACCTCGCAGTCAAACCTAACATCTAAGACCTGAGGTCCCAACCAGAACGCCTGCCGGATATGGGGCACCTACCAGTCCGGCGCACTCCTTAACCAGGACGTCTGCCGAGTATGAGGCCGCCGCATCCACCTACCACCAATCCATCCACAGTGATGTACTGTTGCATCTATCTTGCCCGGCCTAGCTGCCGTCGACGCCACCACGACGCCAGACAATGCCACCATCCTGCGCGAGTCCATCTCCGCGCATCGGGCACCGAGTCTCCACCGCGCCACGCCGTCGAGATCCGCCGCCATAAATGGGCAACTTGAAACACCACTCTTCCTCTTGTCCCCTCCAGCCAACACTTGCTTCAAAACGATGCCTTCATGGTTGTAATATGAACTATTCTCTTCTTTTTTAGCTCGATGGTGTTATGTGTTTTTTTGTCAACTAGAGCCTGTGTGGTCCGAAGCTCCTCGCTCCGACTTCCCTGTAAATCGGTTTTCTCTTCTCGTGAGTGTTTTTTATACTGATATAAGAAAAAATAAATTCTAATGCAAGATTAAAATAATGTTCATAAATTTATAAATTATACTAGATTTTAAAAGAACATCGTTAAAAAACATTGAAATTTTCCAAAATGTTCAAAAAATAAATAAAATGTTTTTTCTATTTATAAATATTCAAAAGTGTAAACATTCAAGGTTGTAAAATAGATTATTTTAATTTGTTTTGACAAGTCAAATGCCAGGGATGGTGACTAGTTATTTGACTACTCAAAACAAGTCAATACAGGGTCGAAACCGGTTTGGGGTTGATTCTTGTCCGGTTTTAAAAGTTTAAGGTTGCAAAGTAGACGGTTTTAGAGTTTGGGTTGGATGTTGACTAGGCATTTGACTAGTCAAAACAAGTAAAAAATGGTTGAAACCGCTAAAGATTGATTTTTGTCCGGTTTTGGTAGTTTGAGGTTGTGAATTAGATGGTTTCAAAGTCAACCCTGTTTGGATACTCTAACTCAGTTGGAGGTTAGAGTTAGATTCTAACCCTGAACTAACTCTAGCAAAAAAAGTGTTTGGATGGCAGGGTTAGATAGAGTGCGGATACGTCGAGGCGCCTTCACGAATGGTGCGAGAGGGAGGAAGGAAGAGGACGAGAAGCTTTGAGAAAGTGGGGAGGGATCTGCTGCGGGGAGAGCAAGAGAAAAATGTGTTTTTAGTGGTCCCGAGAAGAACTAACCCAAATAAACACCTCTTAGATGGGTTAGATTTTTTGGAAGGGTTAGATGCATCTAACCCAAACTAACACTCCTGTTTGAATATATTTTGGTTAGTTGAGTCCAAACTAACCCAAACTAACTCTAATCTATAAATCCAAACAGGGCAAGTGTTGTATCTTAGACTTGGGTGATAATTCAGGGTTCTAATGTGAACTCTTCTCTCTTTCTTTACCTCGACGGTGTCATGTGTCTTGTGTTGTCAATTAGAACCTGTGTGGGCCGGAGCTCCTTCCTCCGACTTCCCTATAAATCGGTTTCTCTTTTCTCTGAATTATTGTAAAAAGACATTTATTCATTATTTTGACACAAGTCTTGCACAAACCGATGATATAGGGATGTAGCTTAGGGACTTTGCTACACTTACGGACGGCCAGCCCACGGAAAACAGCTACGCGCAGATGGGGAGTCAGCTGATTGACGCTCAAAATTTCACTTTGCGTGAACTGCGGGCTCACATAGCTCTCTCGTTCTGCCACGGCAATGCGTAGCCAGCTTTCCGTACAAGTTATCCGTAAGTGTATCATTTTCGGTAGCGTAGTTAGGTCATCCCCACTGCGCTAGTGTCTAGATGGCAATCCTCGGGAGCAAAGAAGAGCCGGTCGTGTTGGAGGTCAAACGTGAAGCGCGTGTCCAACATATGCCCCGCGCCTATCACTGACCTCTCAGCGTACGACGCGACGGTGAAACACGCGTAGTGGGTATGCTGATGCGTCACTGCCATGAACAGCAGCTCCGGCTTGATAAAGAGCGCGGCCGATTCCGGGTAGAAGTGGAGCGTCACGCTCGGGAAGTGCGCGCGGATACTGTCACATGCCCCGCGGAAGCAGAGCTCGAAATTCTGCACCGGCCCGGGCGCGCAGTGCACCCCGCGGCTCTGCATGTGCGCCACGACCTCGGCCGCCAGGACATGGTACGCGGCCGGGGCCAGCACGGTGTACGCCGTCCCAACGTCGATGGTGCACCCGCCGCGGAGGGTGCGCGGGTCGCGTTCGAACATCGCCGGCGTGATCGCCGTGAGCCTTCGCCCGCCCAGGCTGATGCCGACGAGGTGGACGTAGTACATGCCCCCTCCTTGGGCGAGTTCCCGGTGCAGCAGCGCCGTGCTCCGTGCGTGCGATTGGTCCGGGATGTCGGCGCCGAACCGGAGGAAGCCACGCCGGTGGAGGTGCTCGTGCTCCTTGCCGACGAGGCAGTAGGAGAAGCGCGAGGCGGTGAGGCCGCGGTCCGAGAGCTGCCGGATCAAGGAGGTCGGGTGCCTGTCGAGGCTCATTACGCCGGCCCAGACGCCGTGGTTGCCGAACTGGTGCGTGGAGTGCGCGCAGCCGAAGACAAGGCCGTCCACACTGCTGATGGGGCTGCCGGGGCCGCTGCCGTCGAAGACGAAGTTGTCGGTGCTAAGGAAGCCCTGCGCGCTTGAGCCGTGGTACTGGTACTTGACGTCGAAGATGCAACGGCCCCGGCTGCCGCGCTTGTACGGAGCCGTGCAGCGATGGTCCGTGGATGCAATGGCGTGGTAATGAGGGGAGACGGCGGTGTTGAAGATAGAGCCCTCCTGCTTCATCTCCGGTATGCATGGTCGGCACCGTATCCACGTCAGGGGGCGGACGAGGTCCAGCGCGAGCTTTTGTAGAAGTGCTGGGTTTCGCCGCTGCCGACGCCGACGTGGACGCTGTAGACAGGCCCCGTCAATGGGATCATCTTGGGGCGTATGGACGTGATGTTCACGCCGCCCTCGGCATCACCTTCCGGCAGGAGCTCCTCGAGTATGCCAGCTTCAGTGCGGTAGTGGGGCACGAGGGGCAGGCTGAATCCAGCCGCACCGCTGCTGTTGGTGGTGCCGGCGGCGAGGCTCACCGGATTTAGCACGACAAAGAATAAGAACAACATGCAAGCGTATACGCTCGACATGGCTGAAGTGTCTGGTTGGATTAGCACAATGATCCTTCGCTTGGATGCCGCATCTTATAGATAGACGTACATCAGAACATTTATCTTCGTACTACATCAATACATGTATTACATACACATCATCTAATGTCTCTGATTGAGCAAAACAATGATCTTTGGATTGGAGTAGTAGATAGATACACATCATTTAATGTCTATGGTTTATCTGAACAATGATCCATGGCTTGGAGTAGATAGATATGCATCATTTAATGTCTCTGGTTTATGAGAACAATGATCCTTGGCTTGGAGTAGTGTAGATAGATACGCATCATATAATGTCTCTTGGTTTTATCTTTATCAGAACACTGATCCTTGGCTTGGAGTAGTAGATAGATACGCATCATATAATGTATGAAAACAATGATCCTCGACTTGGAGCGGTGGATAGATACGCATCATTATCTCAGAAGATGCGGATGTGGACTATTGCTTCTGTCAGAATATGTACTCATGATTTTG